CGAAAGGCCAAAATAACTTTCGTTTTTGACCTAAGGGTTCCGCTGGTCAACCCCCTTTTCCGTCCAACCCAACCCCAAACATCCAAAAGTATTTTATTTCCTTTTGATATCCAAAATAAAGTCTCTTCTATCTATTTTAATCCCTGGTCACAATAGGAAACCAAAACAGCCCCATTCATCTTCCAACATCCACCCAACATGGTCCCTACTATGTTCCCTAGTACAACCCACTAAACAACCATAAAAGTCCAGGAGAAACATGGTACTTTCTTAACCCTTTAACCACCAAATAAATCCTCATATATGCAGCCAAAGTACCACACATTATCCTTTCCCATTGCCCCCCTAGTTGGCTGAATACATCCCCCAAAATCAGCCCAAAAGAAGGCCATTCATTCCCCCTGGTTTGCTTTTCATTGGAGGCCCTACAACCACACCCATCCCTGATTTTATCCCAATAAAAGGACCTCAAAACATGGCTGATATTTCAGGGATTTGAGAGAGGATGTTGCTAGGAAGTTTCCTAATGTCTACATTCAATGTATTGTGCATTATCTCCCCCTTCCCCCTGCCTATATAATCAGGCCCTATGGCCATTGTAAACACAACTTTGAATATTAAAACTCCCTTTTACTCTTTGAGTATTTATAAAATAGTGTGATGTTATTTTAGCCAAATTCCTAATTCTATATCTTAAGAGTGGTTATCTTAAGTGTGAGTTTTAGGTTCTAGATATTTGATTAAGTGTGTAATATCTTAATTGAATTCTAGATTCAAACCCCAAGTTAGGACAAGAGTGTAATATCTCCTAACACCAACTTGGTTTTATCCATCCGTGATATTTCTTCCGTTTCATATCCCTCCATTTCTCCTTCTTAATCCTATTCTTTTTCTTCCATAAAATACCAAAAAAGAACTCCTAAAACACCCTCCATACTTTCGCCCACTATTTCCCTTCCATTTTCCTCCGCACATCCGCCACTAAATTATCAACTTGATAAGACCCCCGCCCGGTTCACCCCTAACATATATATATATATATATATATATATATATATATATATATATATATCCAATATATCCAACCAAAGACAGCATTATCCAGCTTTGCTTCAAACAAATTCAAGGCTGGGGTTGGGTAAACAGGAACAAGAAATGGCTCATTAATGATGAAGACTTCACAACGTGGGGGATCAGGGACTTCTGGAGAAATGGAAAGCGTTTAGTTCTTCATTTTTGATTTTGGTGTTTGTTTTTTTCTCTCTTTTTTTTCCATCATGTTTGTAACCGGCTAACTCTCTTTTAATAAAGTTCCCTTGTTAAAAAAAACAGGGGAACTTTATTAAAAGAGAAAGGAGTCAGGCGGTTACAAACATGATGGAAAAAAAGAGAGAAAGACAAACACCGAAATAAAAAATTAAGAACTAAACGCTTTCCATTTCTCCAGAAGTCCTTGATCCCCCACGTTGTGAAGTCTTCATCCTTAATGAGCCATTTCTTGTTCCTGTTTACTCAACACCGGCCTTGAATTTGTTTGAAGCAAAGCTGGATAATGTCGTCTTTGGTTGGAGCTTTCTCTTCATAAATGAATGCATTTCTTGCTTTCCAAATATTCCAAGCGATAACCCCTGGCAGAATTAGTCGCAGACAACCTTTGAAGTTCTTCTCATTTCCAGTAACCCACCAAGCTATCATATGCTGGTGAAGAGTAAAACCCTTCTGTACAGTGGGGCCCATAACAAAGGAGCTAAAGTGGTGCCAAACTTGTGTACTAAGGGAGCAATGAAGTACGGAGTGGTCCAATGAGTCTTCATCCCTTCTGCAGAGAGTGCAACAACTAGGGAGGGAGTAGCCAAATCTTCGCAAGTTGTGAGGGAAGGGTAAGGCTTCGTTTAGAACTCTCCATTGAAACATCTTAAGCTTGGGGATTTGAGTCTTGTGCCAAATGTTCTTGCTGGAGGTCAAATTTGGGTAGCCCATTTCCCCCATTATGAAAGCTCTCTTGAGGGTGAATGAACCACCATCCCATGACATTCCCATCTTATATCTGGAACTGTAAGTCTCTCCAATGTCATTGATTCTGCTGATTCTCTTCCAAACATGGGAGTCTGTTATCCTTTCGTTGATAGTGCCTGACTTCAAGTATTTACCTCTCATGAAAGAAGCCCAAATGCCTTGGTCATTATGGATCTTCCACCATAGCTTTAAGCAGTAAGCTTTTTGAAGTCTTTCAATGTTTTTGAGGCCCAAACCCCCTACCTCAGTAGGTTTACCTTGCTTCTGCCCCCAAAAGAAGTTGGCCATGGAGGAGTTCAGGGCATTGATGATGGATTTAGGGATGGTGTGGACAGCCATAATATGTAATGGGATAGAGGAGAGGACATGTTTGATAAGGATCAACCTCCCCATTTGGTTAATGGTCTTGCTATACTAAGAATTGATGTGCTTGAAGAAATGATCCATCAACCTTGTACAGTGTTCCTTCTTGAGTTTCCCTTTACAGATATTGGCCCCCAGGTAGGTAAAAGGGAGGTTTCCACACTTCATGCCTAGAGCTTTTTCCATGTTATGAATAATGCTTGGAGGTTTCTTACTGCTGGTGCTCTGCTTTTTGGGCAATTTATTTCCTGTCCAGGGGCAAGGAGATATTCTGAAAGGGCCTTCCTTAGTTTGAGCAGATTCCTGGTTTCTCCCTTGGTAAAAATCATGAGGTCATTTGCATAAACCAGGTGACTAGCAAATTTCACACTCCCATCATTGAATCTTTGAATATGGCAGTTGTCCATGTAGTGGTTAAGTAGCCTGCTAAGACCTTCCGCTCCTAAGATGAAAAGGAGAGGGGATAGGGGGTCCCCTTGCTTGACACCCCTTGTCATTTGGAAGAAGCCAGTTGGCTCCCCATTGATGATGATGCTGAAATGAGTACCTTTGAGGTTTGCCATAAGGATGAATATTGAGTCGTTGGAGAAGCCAAAGGCAGTAAGCAGTGCTTCTAGATATTTCTAGTCCATTCTGTCAAAAGCTTTTGCCATATCTATCTTAATAAGCAGGTTCCCACCAAATACCTTCTTATCAAGTAGGTGGACAGCCTCTTCAGCCATAAGAATGTTTTCATCAATGGATTTGCCTTGTTGGGAAGCAACTTGCTCAGGAGAGATGAGTTTGGGCAGGAGCAATTTGAGCATATTGGCCAATATCTTTGTGTTAATCTTACTCATGAAAGTTGACAGAGATATTGGCCTAAAATCATCAAATTTCTTGGGATTACCAATCTTGGGGATAAGGGATAGCAAGGTGCTGCCATAGGCCCTAGGGACAGGCACGCCAAGGAAGAATTTCTGGGAGGCTAGAAGGACATCTCTCTTGATAATCTCCCAGCAGTGTTTGAAGAAGTTTCCATTAAATCCATCAAGACCACTTGCACTGTTACCATCAAGCTCCCAGACTGATCTTTTAACTTCCTCCAAAGTTGGTAAAGCAGTAAGGAGGGAGTTGTCTTCCAGGATTATAACCTTTGGGATGAGAGGAATAATTGGCTCAAGAATAGGATTATGATCAGCCTTGTAGGGTTTTTGGAAATGGGTTAGAGCAACTTCTTTTATGTCCCCTGGGGAGGAAAGACCCTTCCCTTCTGTTGAGAGAATATGAGTGATTGAAAGCTTCTTCCTCTTCCTCTTAGGAAAGGCCTGGAAGAGCTTTGAGTTTGCATCCCCTTTGTCAAGCCATCTGATGTTCGCTTTTTGTTTCCAGTACACTACTTCATCATTAACTGCCTTTATAAGTTTGGCATTGGCAAGCTGTGTTGATTCCCTATTGATCTCATTTGGAAAGTTCTCATATTCCACGTGAATTTGGGAGCCCAGTTGTTCAGCATCATTGAGTTGGTGAAAATGTTCCCAAAGACCTTTTGGTGCTATTCCTTGAGGGCTACTTTAGTGTGTTGTAGCTTATTGGCCAATCCCCTCATACCGCCCACAGTGGGGCTGCCTGACCATGTATCCTTAACCAAACTGTGAAAAGTATCATGAAGTGTCCAAGAGTTCAGTTCTGGATTTGAGCAATTAAGCAGAAGAGCTTTGTGATCAGAATTGGTCCTGGCTAGGTGGGTAAGGGTAATGTCAACAAAGGAGGCCATGATATCAAGGTTAATCAGTACTCTATCAAGCCTTCTCCAGGTTCTCCCTTGGCTCCTAACGCCGGACCATGTAAAAATACCCCCAACTGGATCAGGGCAAATCAGATTACAGTTGGATATGCATTCATTGAAGTCATCCATACTTTGAGTGATGCATCTGCCCTTAAATTCTTGGAAGGAGGAGATGTCATTGAAGTCCCCCCCCCCCAATAATCCAGCGCTTACCCTCAGGGCAAATAGTCTGAAGTTGGTTCCAAAGAAGTCTTCTATCCCGCACAGTGTGAGACCCATAGACTGAAGAGATCAGCAATGAGTTGTTATCAGATGACAAAGTAAATTCACAGTGCATTACTTGTTCTTCTTCCAGGCAGGTGTTGGGATGAAGAGAGACCTGGTTCCAAAATATCCACCGGAATCCCATTTATGTTTTCTTGGCCATTTTAAACACTTGTTAAGGGATTTAGTTGGTCATTTGATTGAGTAGACATCAAGTCCATTTGGTATTAGCTTTAGCCTTTCGGGAATGCTATGCAACGATAGCTTTTAGCATTAACGTTTAAAAAGTTAATATGTAGTACTACAAAAGTATTCAAAACTCTAAGGTGGGGTTCCGCACACTACTTTTTGTATAGTTTTTGTGTGTAAAAATGGAGCTTTTTGAGGTGAATGATTGCTCAAACAAGTATTAGAGGTGTTTGGTAAACAGGTTTTGGGACAAGTTTTGGGTCCCAAAAAGCTGGACGACAAAAATTTTCATTGTTCTCAATTTTTTTAGCCACACAACAACCTAGTTGAATCCCACTAGAGTACGGTCTGGGGAGGTCGTGTGTACGGCCTTTTTTTCTTTGCAAATATGCTGCATCTTTTCTCCATGTTTTAGTAATCTGTGGATTTTTATTTGCTTTGGTTTTTTAATTGATGTGTTTTTTTTCTATGTTGTGTTTTTGCATTGTATACTTTTTTTTGTTTCTATGCTTTGTTTAAGATCTTTTTACTTTTACAATCTACTTTTTTAAAAGTTATCATTAATTTTGTTCTATCTTCATTCTTCAAAATGTGATATGGACATTTTTACACTTTATAGTTGAGGCTTGCGCCTCAAAAAGCCTAGAGGCTTACACAATACACTATACAGTCACGTATATATACATGATCTTGACTAAATGTGCAGGGTTCACGTGATTAGGGAGACAATGATTAGGTTAGGATTAACCAAGCCTATCTAATAGAGGCTATTTTGAACTCATGCATTATGTATATACCAGCTCACTTGCGCTAGATAGAATCTTGAAAATTATATTTGATCATTGCTATTCCTACTTTGCTGGTTATCATTTCATTGTTTAGTACTACTACAATTGGCTTAGTGATTTGTTCTTTAGGTCATCATAACAAGTGACATTGTCATTTGAGGTTTCAAAATGGACACTGATCTTTTTTTAGTTGTCAATTGACAAATTGCTGATTACTCATTCATTTGTCCGCATCTTTTTGGTTTTCTACTTATTCAACCGTGCTATTGAAATCAAAGGTTGAAGATGCTGTTCTTAAATTCAAAAACTTGCATGCTCAGCTGGATGTGACACTCTCATCTGTACCATGTGAGAAGCTTATTAAGCTCTCCTGCAAATTACTCAAGGTATGAGTTGATGTATCTCCTATGTAAGTTTCACTAAGGTTAATCTGGATCAGTGTGGGCGACTGTTGTCCTGCAGTCTTGTGTGTTGGTTGTGATTTTTTTTTTGAAATTCTAAAAATGCTTTTGTTCAATTTTGTCGTTCTGAAATGTATGTTCTTTTGTGCTATTCAACGTAGGTGCATACCGCACTCAATATAGTCGATCAGATAATTGATAAGGGGTTGTCTATGACGACAGAGACATTTAATGTCATACTAGATGCCTGTGAAGGTAGCTGTGAGTATAATTTGGTATGATCTGTTTTGAATTTTATTCTATAATAATTCTCACTGTCTAATTTGAACTCGTAGTTTTGATCAGTGTCTGATGGAACATAAAGTGCATTGATTGCCTTCCTGGTAAAAAGTGTTCACATCAGTGATTTTGGAGGTGTATATAACTGTAACTAAAATTCAGTGTACGTGGAATGCATGAAATTACTAGTTCATGTACTGTCAAATGCACTTATACATTATGAGTGAAGCTTTAAAACTATACTGAGTAGCTACTCAATCAAATGCACTACTTTCTGACTACTTGGTTGTGGACTAATAACATTCAAAATATGTCAGAAATTTCTAATGTTATGACTTATGAATCATACTAAAGCTGGTGCATACTTGAAAGGAAGTACATACTTGTATGGACCGGTAGTCTGTTATTTATATTATGTTATTTAATTGGTGAGTGCTCGTTTTGGGACAAAAAAGCATGATGAGTTTCTTCAGGAGTAACTTTTACTCTTTTGGCATTGGCTTTGAACCTAGGAAACTCATCATAGTCAGCGGCTCAGATAGTTCAAGTTCTCGACTCTTCTTGCTTAGTTTGTGCACATTAACCAGTTTTTGCATCCAACAATGTACTCGGGAGTGACCCATTTTGTTGCAATAATCACAATGTGAAAACAAGTATGTGCCTCTTCTTGCTTCAATATGTTTTCAATTCTGCCAATTACCATTCCTTCCAAGAACAAGTAGTGCCTGCTGATCTCTAGGGTAACTTGACAGAGTCATTTGAACAATTCTGCTGGGACAATATTGCTTTAGCGTATTTGGGTAAAAAATTATCAAAAACGGGACCAAGTCTAGACACATGATGACCAATTTACCATGTTGAGTGAAAGCTTTGAGCTTTTCTAATACTTGTACCTTGTTTCCGTTGGTTAATCAAATGCTCAATTGCAGTAGAAAGGCTCTAAAGAGGACCCTAGCTTGATTCCAAACCTTGACACGTGTCTTAAAGGCTCTAAATAATGGCATCAATTCAAGGATAGAGACAACAATAACAATCTGCACAGTTGATCAACCCTATCTCAAACTGTCTTTTCTTTTTGGAACATTTCCTACCCCTTTCTTTAGTGGTCAAGAATTGGCCCATAAATCACAATTCAATAGCATAAACCATGATTGATAATTGTGTTATCCACACCATTTTTGGAGGTAATAACCAGATTTCTAGAAAGATATAATATCAAATGAGAGCAGTGCCTATTACTTTTTGTACTAGTGGTGTCTTCAGTAGAAAGTAAAAACTGAAAAGATCTGAAGAAGTCTGCAAGAAAATCTTGCTGGTCTTGATCTCACGCGTCGACACGAGGCGGCAGAATGATAGCTGTCCATGGTGGCGCGTGGCGGCAAATCCAATGACCGAAAAGCCTTGGGTAATTTTTGTGAAGGCTAGGGATACTTCGTGCCTTCAATTCTTAGAATAACTGCATGGGTAGAGACAAATTGATAGATGATTACTTCCCCAAACAGTGTTGTGCTTTGTTTAGGAGATACAGAAGTCACATGAACATTTCAAAACCATGACTGATAACATTCTGATACAATGTTGAAAAAAGAGGAGAAAAGAAGAGTTTTTTCTTGTATTCATCTTAGACAACAACAACCCAATTGAATGAATCCCTATATATATATATGTATGTGTGTGGTGTGTGTGTCTATATATATATATGTGTGTGTGTGTGTGTGTGTAAATAGATATATGGATTTTGGTTCTGGTGAGAATGAGATCTTAGGAAAGAAATAAGAATGCATGTGGTGCTTTAGAGTGTGAGATCTAAGGGGCATAAAAATTTGAAAAATAAGAAAAAATTTAGAAAAATGCAGTGGAATTTTTGTTATTCAATTGAACTTTGTAAAATGCATTACCTGATTTGTACAATGCACCATGGTGAGCTACCTGCTTTGTAAAATGCACTATGATGAGTAAAAATGCATCATTCGTAATTTTTTCACCATGGTCCATTCTTATAAGAACCGGCCCCTATATATATATATATATATATACATATATACATATATATATATACATATATATATATATACACACACACACACACACACACACACACACACACACACACACATATATATATATATATACGGTAAGTCTAAAATGACACCAGTGCTACTGGTGTCATTTGCTTACACCAGTTCGTTTGGGGTACCTACGGTGCTCCGTTTGTAAAAACGACGGTTCATACCCCCCCTAACCCTCCCCCTAAACCCCCCACCCCAGCCCCATCCTTGCCCCCCACCCCAGCCCCCCCTCCTGCCCCCTCCCTACCCTGGCAGTGTACTGCCAGGGTAGGGAGGGGGCGGGAGGGGGGGCTGGGGTGGGGGTGGCAAGGGTGGGGCTGGGGTGGGGGGTTTAGGGGGAAGGTTAGGGGGGGTAGGAACCGTCGTTTTTACAAACGGAGCACAGTAGGTACCCCAAATGAACTGGTGTCATTTTAGACGCTCCCATATATATATATATATATATACACACACACACACACACGCACAAAGAGGTTTAACACTGGATGTAGCATTTTTTATATTTTTAAATTTAAGAAATAGAGGACCACATGCTCTTGACTCTTGGGTAATTGGCCCAAGATTCAACTCGACCTTTGACTAATTAGCTGTTGTGTAATTGTTAATTTAGCTTCTAAATTACGGCTATGTTATTTTGGGTTAGAAAATTAAAGTTGGCTGTTGGGAAAAATTGGAAGGGATTGGAATAAATTGAAAGGAATTATAATAAATTGAAAGGAGTTGGAACAAGTTCAAAGGAGTTTAAAGAAAGAGGAAAGAGTTGGGAAAATGTGCTAAAAATTGTATGGAGTTGAAATTATTACATATTTTTTAAATTTCAGATTTTTTATTAAAACAAGTAATACTACACAAACAACAATCCCAAAAGAAAAATCCCACAAAATTAGTTATACTCCTTTTGTTTCTTAAATTTTTTTCTTTCTTTATATTTTTGTATGTCCCACTATCTTTGCCTCAACTTATATTTAGTGAATTTGTGTGACTCACATTCTTATTTTTTCTTACCTTTTAACATCATTATTAATTTCAATTTTTTTTGTTTCTAAATTTGCATGGCATTAACTCATGTCTTAAAAATAGTGGGACAAATGGAGCAATATTTTTATTTGTTAATGTTACATAAATAACCCAAGTTTGATCGATCAACCAAATAACCTCACACTGCACATTATTCACTAAAATAATCATAATTTTTGATGTGTGATGTGTCATGCAAAAATGATTTAAATAAGGCAACAAAAATAATTAAATTCTACACTATTAAAAAACTACCCAAACAAAAGTGTAAAAACCCAAATTCGTATTAAAAAAATCATCTATGTGAGTGTTTGAGGGTTCCTACTTTATAAATTTGGATGTGCAGTGTTATTGTATATTTTCCGTATGTGCATTTACAGGTTATGCATTGCTCATTTTGTTCATTATTTTGATAATAATAATAACGATAAGAATAATTTGAAAAATGCACGTCATAAGAAATGGGGAGGAGTTTGGAAGAAATTGGAAGCTGATGGAAAATGTTGGAAGTTAAGAGTTACAACCCACAGGAATAGAGCCTGCATGGTTTTTTGTTCTATAGAATATATTATATTAACTCATACTCATAGCAAGCTGAAAAAGTACCTGTTAAAATGTAGTCCCCTTGTGACTCTATAATTAGGGGGGTTTGTATTGGAAATGTTTACCTACATGAGGTGGGCAGTTTACACTGTTGGCTAGTGATGTGGTGCCACCAGAATCATGACAAGAGTCCTTCTTGACACTAGCAGAATGCACATTTCAGGGTACACTGTACAACAGTGATATCCATAAGTTTGTCTCTGAACTAAGATTTTGCAAGGTTTTCATATTAATCTTTCAATTTCCCATGTTTCCAAGGTTCGCCGGATGCATTCAATCACAATAAGTTTCCACAATCTCAAGCCTAATGAAAAGACTTTTTGCAAGTTGATAAATTTGAGTGTAAAAATGAAAGATGTAAGTCCAAATGTACTCTGATATTCGTTGTGCCTACTTTTCTTGTAAGTTAACTTCATCATGATTTTAATGTATTTCCTATGTCATTTAATGCAGTTTGACAGAGCATACCGAATTATCAAGGACTTGAGGAAGTTTAATTTGTTGCCTACGGTTAACATGTACAATGCCATAATGGCAGGTTATTTTCGTCAGGTTGCCTTGGCTCATATTTCTTTATGTTTCTTACGGTTTGAAATATATCAATGGAGTATTGTAGTACTGATATCCAATATAACCGTGCATATCTTGTGTTTCGTTGTTCTTGAAAATAAGTAATTTAAATTCGTATTTCCATGTTATGTAATTTAAAAGAATTGGTTAACTTGTTTTCAGAATTAGTTAGCATTCAGTGATGCTGGGTCTCCACATATAAAAATCAAACTTCTGGAAATGAGTTTTTAAGCATGTATAACTAATGTGAACAATGTTTTCTCTAAAAAAACTAGGTGCACCAGGACAACTCAACAATAAAGCTTACACAGTTTCTGAATCCTAGCACCAAGCAGATACAGTTAGGTCTCCAAACTGCATTCATTGACTAATGTAAAAGAATATCTTGTTTTCTTATTAGCACTGCATGGAAAAGATGCTCTAAAAGGTGTGGCTTCATGGATCTCCTTTTACATTCTAAGGAGGACAATATAGATCTAAATTAGTCTGGGATGAGTTGTCAAGTTAGAAACCACACAAGAAGTTATCAACTGAATACAGTTTAAGGATATCCAAGTTAGAAACCACACATGAAGTGCAGAGGCCCTGGTGCAGAGATTTGAAAGGCTTATGGTAGTGGGCAGGGGTGGGGGAAAGGGTAGATCTAGGAAGAGTTGGAAGGAGGTGGTAAAACATGAACTAAGACTTCTGGCCCTTAACGAGGATATGACTTTAGATAATAGCAACTGGAGATTAAGGACTAGGGTAGTTGTCTGGGCCTTCATGGTAGCTTTTGCTATTGTATTTGTGTGCTTTCTGTGCTTGGGATCTAGTTGCTAGAGGCAGTTTGTGTGCTTTATGTCTCTTTGCGCATTTCTTTGCTCTTAGTTTGGGTCTTTGCTCCTTTGTTTGTGCTCCGTGCCTTCTTTGTTGGTTTGCGTTGACTGTGCCCGAGCTGGGGGTCTCTTGGAAACAACCTCTTGTAGTAAGAGGTCTCTTCTAGTTTGGTTTGTGATTGACTTATACAGCTGCTGAATTTGCAGAAAGACTTCCATGGTGGATTGATGGTTTTCAAACAAATGGAAGACGCCAATGTGAAACCAGACTCTCAAAGTTTTAGCTACCTGATAAACAATTGCAAGAGTGAACAGGATATAAACAAGGTCTGACAACAGTTCTTTCCTGAATATTGCATGGTGTATGGATTGGTGTGAATATTAGTGAAATCTTGGTATCATTTTTGTCGATTGAATTCCAAAAGACCCACATCCAAATCCTCCAGTAGATATGATAATTTTTGCCGTCTTAGGTTCCAAAGTATCCAACAAAAAAATTGATAAGCTAGGTGTGTTACCTCCTTTGTTCCAATGAGGGATGATTTCAAGTCTAGCATTTCCTGCTAGTTGTTTAATAATACTCCCTATTATCTTCTCGTCCACTTTTCAGAGGTCAATCTTTATTCACTTTGTTGGCTTATTTTCATTGCCCATTTGATAAAATAAAAGTCATGTCACCTCTAGTTTTGTAGATATTTTAATGTAGTTTTTAAATATGTAATTTTTATTTTTAAACTCCACACTAGTTTTCATATAAAATGATTTAAAAATAACTTCAAACAGGCATCGTAACGCGCAACGGGAATAAAATTTGTGGACGGAGGGAGTACATACTACCAGTGATTTATCTAGAAGTAGTAGTTTGCATTTTACACATTTCTTGACATTTGTATTTGATTAGTTATTTTTCTCAAAGTAGTCCTCTGCATTCCTACTCTACAATTTTCATTTTATGGCATGTTGATTGAGTAGTTTCTTATGTGGCAAAATGTCATCTGTTCGAGTGTCAAAATCATTATATTGAATATGGGGTAACAGGGTATAATCTTTTTAGCTTACCCTATTTTAGGGGTTTTAGCAAGGTATTGTAATTCATAAAAATAAGACAATGTTGTCCATCTGCAACATAGCTTGATAATTTCTTTTCCAACAGAATATATTAATTAAAAAGAAGGTTATTTTGATTTTAAAAAAAAGAAGGTTATTTTAAAGTAAACTGGCAACCATTCACCCTCAGTACATTGGTGAATGACCACTGCTTATTTCCTTTGATTATTTAGGTGCTTAAATAAGTTACTTCTTGTTGATCCTAAAACATGATAAAATAAATGCCACCTAAGTATCTAACATTTTAAATTTGAATCTTCTTGTAGTTTTTTAATGAGATGAAACATGCTGAAGTTCATGTCACAAAGCACGTTTGTATGTCCCTTATAAATGCACATGCAGCTTGTGGACAGTTTATGAAGGCTAAGCAGGTACTCCTTGGTTTGTATTTCTCACTTTCTATTTTTTATTTCTTGACTGAACAGTAAAATAGGTTCTTGTCAGATTGATTCTTCCAGTATAGTAGTTATTCAGATTTAAGCTAGTCAAGCACACAATTTATTGCATAGGTGATCTCAGATGGAAGGGTACCCATAAAGAGCTTAAATGAAGTCAAAAGTGTGCTTGTTTCTGCTCTTGCCTCACATGGGCAAGTATCTGATGCACTTGATATATATGAAGAAATAAAAAAAAGTAAAGGCAATCTGGCACCAAAAGCAGTTATTTGCCTTATTGTAAGTTTTGTACCGTCTGTTCTTAAAATCTTCTCATGTGTATTTGGGCCATTACTGCTGACTCCCCTCCTAAATAAACCTGAAGGAGCATATGCAGTGTGAAGGAAATTTAGATAGATTACTTCATCTGCTTGGTGAGTTAGAAGATAAAGATTATTGGGTTGATGCGGCCTTCAGAATTATATCATATAGCATTCGGCACGAACACTTCGGGTTTGTTTCCATTAGTTTTTCTAAGTATTTGTATTTATTTATACACTTCATATGCATCTATGCAAAAAGTTTATAGAATTTACTTTTAGAGATGGCTTTCATTTTCCCAGACCTATCATGCACTTGCTTAAGAAACTCAAGGACATTTACTGCAATGATGAGGTGGCTAGACATATTCTTTTTGATGAGGTATTCTTTTTCTTTTATAATTGGAACTTGCAAAATTGTGGCAAGGATAATGTATCTTGCTATTTAAATTTATCATTTTTGTTATTAGTATTAATATTAGTATACTCCCTTCGTCCAAAAATAAACTTCCCACTTTCCTTATTTGTCCGTCTCTAGAAAAACTTCCCATTTCCTTTTTTGGCAAATACTTTTAACTTAAAAAGACATTACCGTATAAACTATTATCCACCCCTACCCAAAACCAATATCTCTTTCTCTCGCCAAACATTTTCCTTTCTCCATCCTCTCCAATCGAATTATTGCCTACCTACCCACTGCACCTCTCTCTCTCTCTCTCTCTCTCTCTTTCTCGCCATTTTAGGCCTTCAATTCTTTTACTTTGTATCTTAGATCTCTCTTGATTGTCGATTGGAAACCCGAGAGAAGATAGCAGGTGAGTTGTCTGCCTAGATGACCTCGCTTCTCATACAGCGATGGTGGTGGCTTCTCCATAGCAGCAAAGAGTGATGATTTTTTCAGATGAAGGCGGTGACGGCTAGTGATGTCGCTCCTCAGACAGCGAAAAAAAGTACAGCAGCGGCAAGGCTTCCTCCTCGCAGTGATGGTTCAGATGAAACCAGATGGCGCAACCTTCCTCCGGTGCGGCAGCGATGGTGACGATCCCTAATGCTGCGCAGTCCGCTCTCAGGTGACGAATTAGATTAGATCTGTGATGAGTGTCGTGCAGGGATGGGAGGGGTATTTTAGGAAGGTCAAAGAAAAATTATTTTTCTTAATATCCGTGTCCGGTCAAACCGAGAAGTTTTTTTTGGACGGAGGGAGTATAAGTCTTGAGAATATAATTGGCTTTGATTTAGGCATCAGTAGGGGTGATTTAGGCTTCTTATATTAGCACCCTCATGATTATCAATTACCTGGTATAAGACTGTTTATAGAGAAAAGACTGCTGCCACAGAAGGGGGGTGCTCGCCTGACCTCACTACCACCCGAATGGAGTGGCACTAACCATCAAATTACCATCCATAAATTGGAAGGAGTTGGAAAATGTTGGGAAAAAGTAAAATGTTAAAAAACCACTCAATTAAATGATCACCCAATAAAATATGTAAGAAAACTAATTTGGTTCTAAAAAAGAATTTATCTTTGTCTGTGTTTGAGGTGTTATGTTATAAATTTGGATATATAATGTTATTGTATAGTCATCATACTTAAATACATTTCTTAAGTAGTTATTGGAAAAGACTGGAAAGAGTTGGAAAAAACTAGATCGATTTGGAAGAAAGTGAAAAGAGTTGGATAAAATTGGGGGTGAGGCGATATGCACCTTTACCCACCACACTGCCATCGTTAGTACATGGTGCATTATACAAACAACAACAACAAAACCTTATCCCACTAAGTGGGGTCGGCTACATGAATCAAACGACGCCATTGTGCTCTATCATGTATCATATCTGCTGTGAGATCATTCACGTGAAGGTCCCCTTGACTACTTCTTGCCAAGTCTTCTTAGGTCTATCTCTTCCTCTAGCCATTCACCATTTGATCAACCCTTCTCATAGGATGCTCTATTGGTCTTCTCTTCGCATGTCCAAACCACTTAGGATGAGTTTCCACCATCTTTTTTACAATAGGTGCCCCACTCTAACTCTAGCTCTAATATCTTCATTTCTAATATCTTCATTTCTTATTCTATCCCTACGCGTATGACCGCTCATCCCAACGAAGCATCTTCATTTCCGCCACACTCGGCAATGTTTTATCTTTAGTTTCAAAAGTACTTTTTTGTCACATATAAAGCCTGAAGTACTCCGCCATTTTGACCAGCCAACTTGAATCTTGTGGTTAACATCATCCTTTATTTTCCATTGTCTTAAATGATACACCCAAGGTATGTAAATCTCTTTACTTGTGGTACTTTCAATGTTACTATTTATCCTTCTGTTGCCAAACATGCACTCTATATATTCTATTTTTGTGTGACATATATAAGCAAGCCATGCACATCCAAAGCCTGTCTTCATGAGTCTAACTTCTTATTCAAACCATAGTTGTTAAGGCGAGTAGGCGAGTCTAGGCGCTCGGGTACCTTCTAATCGCCTAAGCGATTAGGCGTCTGCCTAGGCGTCCTCTAGGCGAGTGGCTATGACAACTTTAATATTTTATAGGTATTAATATAAAAGCATATAATATGAAATAAGTAATTAAAGAGAACATATGAACCCCAAAAAATAAAGAGTATATATTCTAAATTATATGAATGAATGTTGTTTTTCAAAAAAATAAAATTTAAAAATATATTCAGCAAAATAAGTAAATATTTTGATCTTTCTAAACTTTTTAAAAGTGAAATAATATTCGGGCCCAATGCTCTTTTAATAAACAACTATATTAATAAGTGTAAAGGCCCACTTCTCTTTTAATAAACTCATCCCAAATTAGTTAACCTAAAATAACTAATTGGAGAGTCAGAGAGTCGGAGGGTTTAGAGGAGCCGCTGGTTATCTCGGCAGTCGCGACAATGAATCAGCGTCGGCAAGTAAGGTAAGCTCGATCTTCCTCAGTCTCTCTCTCTCTCTCTCTTTCGTCTTCTTCAGATCTTCTTCTCCTCCTTCTTCCTCTCTCAGCTTCTTCCAGTCATCTTCTCCGTTGTTTGCACAAAAAAGGCTAGGCGAGCAGTTAGGCGTCCATATGACCTCGCCCAGACGCCTAAGCGTCGCCTAGGCGACGCCTTGATAACTATGATTCAAACTCTCTCGTGATTCGCTCATAAGGATGTCGTGATTCACACATAAGGGTGATGTCATGGGCAAAAAGCATGTACATGGTACGGCTTCTTGGATATGCTCGGTAAGAACGTCCAATACTAGTGTAAAAAGATATAGGCTTAACGATGACCCTTGGTGTAATACTACACTGATGGGAAATTCCTCTGTTACCCCACTTTGACTTCTCACGCTTGTAGCACCATCGTGCATGTCCTTAATCGCACGAATATACACAATTTGTTACTCCTTTTTCTCTAAAACTTTCTACAAAACTTCTCTTGGTAACCTGTCATATGCTTTTTTCAAATCAATAAAAGCAATGTGTGAATCTTCTTCTCACTTTGGTACCTCTCCATCATTCTCTTCACCAAGTTTATAGCCTTGTAGTTGATTTTCTTGGAATAAAACCAAATTGGTTCTGTGTCTTAACCTTCATTCCACCTCTCTTTCCCACAACTTCATTGTATGACTCATGAGCTTGATCCCTCTGTAGTTTCCACAATTCTGATTATCCCCGTTGCTCTTGTAAATAGGGACCAAAATACTCTTCCTCCATTCTTTAGGCATTTTTTAGGGCTTGTTTCGTGAGTTTTTTGAGATATGTTAAGGTATGAGTTTTGAAATTTGAAGTGAAGTTGTTTGGAGAAAAGAGAAATGAAATTAGATTTCTTATCTACACTCTTTATCGTTCCTCCATTCGCCCCTCTTTTTAATTTGGTGAAGCAATCTTGTATATACATCTTTCCCCTTTTTTCGTACCCAACAACTAGTAAAACCCTTCATATGTTCTCATTTTTGCTCCACTTACATCCACTTTTGTCTCTTGCACACTAGTGTCCCTCCACCATTTTGTCTTGCATGATTGCTTTTAGTTTCTCCAAGAGTTTCATTTGCCACCTTTCTTTTTTTTTTTGAAACAATTTGCCACCTTTCTAATAGTATTTGTCATATCACACCATAACTCTTCTACACTATCATGTCCATCCCATTTTGCTTCTTCAACTAAACGGCTTTGGAAAACCATTTGCTTATCACCTTTCAACTACCACCATCTAGTCCTTGGGTTTCTCTTTTGGCGATTTCTCCTTACCTTTCGTTGGATACGAAAATCCATAATGAGCACTCTATGTTGGGTGGTCAAACTCTCTGGGAATAATTTTACAATTAGTACAAAATTTTTGATCTGGCTTCATGTCCTCCCAAATCGCAACTTATCTTGATCTTTACCTTTATCTTTGCAAACTAGCTTATGTACCAATGTTTGTTCACCAAAACGTGGGAACCCTTGCTTATCTTGCGGCAAACACACACACACATATATATATTTATGTATGTGTGTGTGTGTGTGTATATATCTAATTTTTGCAATTAGTACAAAATTTTTTATCTGATTTATTTAGCAGAAAGAAATCAATTGGAGAGCATGTCCTCCCAAACCGCAACTTATCGTTATCTTTACCTTTACCTTTGTGAAATAGCTTATGCACCCATGTTCGTTCACCAAAACGTGGGAACCCTTGCTTATCTTGCGGCAGACACACCCACCCACAAACACACACACACACACACTCACACACATAGGTATACACAGACACACACACACATATATACAACACACACATATATAGGGATCGACTCCAGTCTCATGACACCTTATGGTTCGATGATCAGATGATGCAAAGCTTATATATATATATATATATATACATATATATATATATAATAGGGATTGGTTCCTGTAAGAATAAACCTTGGTGAAAGAAATAAGAATGAATGTTATCTTTTAGATTAAGTGCACGGCTGTGATGGAATTAATCATTGACGAGTTGTTAAACTTTAAAAAAGGTAGGTATTAAATTTGTACGAACTAATTGCCCCATTTTCTACTCTTAGGGGCATAAAGGTAATGATGCATCAATTTTCTTATACACCGTGCCAACATTAATAGGGGGTTCATTATGCCATTAATTTTTTTTCTTTTAATTATTCTACTACATTATCTATTTTGTATATGATTTTTCGTACATAAGTTCGCCCTTGACAAATTGAATAATATGCTATTCAAAACCACTCGTTGAGATCTACCCGACCCACCAATATTAAATATAAAATTTTGATATTATATTTTCATATCTCAAAGTAAGAAAAGTAAAATTTATAAATACTATTTTTCTTGATTATTTAACCAAATAAATAAATAATTTTAGGTCGATATTTCAGGGTGTTACACGCTGTCTTAGTGCTACACTCATGTCCCAAATTAAAACTCTGAATTTACTCAACATATTTTTAAGAATAATGAAATTTTATATTTGAAAATGCATCTTATTTAAGAATTACATTTTATATCTCACTTTTTGGATTTATGTCAAAGAGATGCACTATGATATCTACATTCACATATAATGTAAATGTACCGTAATGACCGACAAATGCACTATGATTTGACCATTAGATTTTTTTTATTTTTATTCTATTTATTTGTGAATTAGTGAAGAACGACTTTTGAGTGACTTTATATGCGATTAAAAAAACTGAGAATGCATTGTGCTCTAAACAAGTGTCATTTGAATTTGAAAAATAGTTTGCCTATGCAGGATTTGGACTCACACCTAATAGGCGATGGTTTGTTTATCAAATAGCCTCTAAACAAGTACATACCGCTCTACCATTTGAGTTAATAGGCAATGGTTTGTTTATCAAATAGCCTCTCTTTTTGCACTTGGTGCTATTAAATACAAGTATGCATTTTAATCTTTTAAAATTTGCATCATTCAATGTGCATCATTGTTTGCAAAAATCTTACTATCTAGAATATAGAAATGTGTTATATTTGTGTAAGGAGAATTTCATCATACTGTTCATGAAAATGCATAGTAACAAAATACAATATCTTTTTTCTTGATTTTAAGTATGCATTTTCTTCTTATTTAAATGTATTATCATGATTCTAAGAATGCATTGTTTTCTTATTCTAATGCACTACCTTATTCTAATTATAGAAAACAATGATAATCCGCCTGACCAAAGTTAATACATTTTTATGCGTCGTATGTTCAGAAAAAAAATTAGTACTAGAACTCAAGCTCAACCTTTTCTTCTAATTTGATGCAATAGGCACACAAGAAAATGCAACAAAGTAAACTAAATTTTGTACATTCAGACACAAATATGCAGTAAGAAAACTTTATTTTTGTATAGGCAAAAAATGCATCGGCCTAGACAAAAATTAAATCAACCACGCTAAATTTGTGATAGGGGAAACCTGAAAGTGCAACTAACATAAAATTAAAACTATCTTCTCAATAATTAAACTAAAAAAGAACATACCTGTGTAGAGAGAATTTGAGCATTTTAGTTGATGAAAACTTTAAAAAAATATAAAAATGCAGTAGGCCTAATTCCTTTCTATATAGGCCTAAAAATTCAAGGTGCTAAGGCATTTTAAAAATTTACAGTAACAAAAACATACCCTCAGTTTTCTTCTTGACAACACTGTGAATAACAATGCATTACCTTGAGTAACAAAATGCACACAAGTAAATATTAGAATACATAGAACAACTAAAAAATTGATTCAACAATTGTAAGAGATTCATAAGGAAATGCACATAATTTAAACAGTAGAACACATAAAAGAGCAAACAAAAGACTAGTTTTAAAATATATTTCATATATATATATATATATTAAGATTGATTCATGGTTAGAATGCATTACTTTGTTTGAGAAATAAGATCACAGCCACAATCTATCAATAGAAATGCATATGGAGGTTGAGTGTTAAGGGGATCTCTCGAATGCATTTGGGGTTGTAGCACCACCAATTTTTTCATTTGATTCTTAAAGGCATTTTATCAAACACCTTGTGTTCGGCCTGGTATCTTGAACCCAAACTGAGCAATCTTCCATCGTCCTTTTTACGACCATAGAGTAGACTAATAAAAAACAATCCTTGCCAGGATAATTTGAGATTGTTGGGACTATTGTATCGATCTCAAACCTAGGATAATTTTCGCAACACCTCAAGAAAGCCATAAAATATTCAAAGGGGACATGGGTGTTGAGTTAGATGATGAATTGATCTAGAAATTGAAAAGAAATTGCGAGAAGATACCTCAATTTAGAACTCTGCCATGGATGAAGAATAGAATGAATTACTTGGTCGTGGATGAAGAAACGGAAACCTAGGAAAAGTGACCAAATTTTAGGGAGACAGAAAAGCAAAGATACTATTAAGATCCAAAAGTCCTAAAATGCCCTGTATGTAAACGGGATGCATCAACCAGATTGATCAAGGTCTAATGGCTACAACACATTCTTATTTCTTTCATAAGATCTTATTCTCACGGGAACCAAAATCTCTCTCTCTCTATATATATATACATATATACATATATATATATATATATGCTTATATATATATATATATATATATATATATAT